TAAGCAACATGCATTAAATCCTAGGTTCAATCCCAAATTAAGGGGGGTTGAGAGGAAGGAAGCTTGGGGGCTGGGAAGATAGCTCAGTGGTCAAGAAACCTTGTTGCTCTTCCAAAAGGACCCAAATTCAGGTCCCAGCACCCACAATGGGCAGCTCACAACCACCTATAATTCCAGTTCCAGGAGATCATCTGGTTTCTGAAGGTACCAGGCATACACATGGAGCAAAATACATACTTGCAGGCAAACATCCATATACATAAGTAAATCTTTTTTAAAAAATAGGAAGTTGATGGGCATTTTGTAAAATGTTGAGCAAATACGTTCAAAACCACTGATCATTGTTTAATAATTTTAAAACAGGAAATTGCTTTAAAATTGTTTTGTAGCTACTAAAAAACATATTTGTTTTGTTTTTTGAGACAGGGTTTCTTTGTATAGCCCTGGCTGGCCTTGAACTTGGGAGACCCACCTTCCTCTGTCTCCCAAGTTCTGGGATTGAATGTGTGTACCACCACTGCCTGGCCTAAAAAAAATATTTTATTTGTACAACCAGCAATTAAAGGGAAAATGCTATCACTTTGCCTTTTCCTTAGGAAATTTAGCTTCCAGCTGACCAAAGAGTCTTAGATAGATGAAGGTTTTTAAAAAGATAAAAAAAAAAATGGAAGTATTGCTGTGTGTAAATGTGTGTTTATATGTGTATGTGTGCTTGTGTGTATATGTGTGTGCATGTGCAAGCATGTGTTTATGTGTTTGTATATGTATACGTATGTATGTGCCTATGTGTGCAAATGTATATATTATGTGTGTATGTATTATCCACATGAGTGTGAGTATACACCTGTGTAGTAGACTATTATTTTAAGATGTGTTATTTTTGTTTATGTTGCATTTGTTTAACTCTGTGAAGCTGTTAACATACCTAATGGTCTAATAAAGAACTGAATGGCCAATACTGAGGCAGGAGAAAGGATAGGTGGGGCTGGCAGGCAGAATATATAGAGGGAGAAATCTGGGAGGAAGAAGAAGAAAGAGATCTAGGAGCCAGAGAAGGAGGACTCCAGGGGCCAGCCATCCAGCTACACAGCAAGCCACAGAGTAAGAGTAAGACTAAGTCTCCGTGTATAATTTATTTGGGAGCTGGGTGGAGGGCCCCCCAAAAGAATAAAATACCAACAACACCACACCTGTGCACATATATGCAGAGGAAAGAGGAAGACATCATGTGTCCTCCTGTCTTGCTCTCTAACTTACTCCCTCGAGACAAGGTCTCTCACTAAACTGGAAGCTCATTTGTCTCCATTTCTCAATGTCAGGGCTATCTGTGTATAAATGTGTGTGTATTTATATGTGTATGTGTGCTTATGTGTATATATGTGTGTGCATGTGCAAGCAAGGGTCCCTTGCATACTAGGCCACATGTTCAATCTACCACTGAGCTGGAAAACTCTTTCCATATTTTTGGTTTTGTTTCAACATTACTGCTCAAGCTTTACTACCTCCAAATTTCAACAACTCTAGAAAAAGTTATCAAGACTTCAGTTCATAGGGGTTAGCACTCATCTCTACAGTACTTTAACCAGAGAACTAAATTGATTTTAAGCAAAAGAGGCCTTGATCACTGAGGTGTTTTATCTTCTGAAGTGTCTTTATCACATGTCAACACTCTTTCCTTCTATGAATAACTTTCTTTTCTTGGAGGTCTTTCTCTTGCTTCCCCACCCAGCATTATAACCACTTCAAGCTCCCCTATTTGCCCACCCACCATGGCCTCAAAGGCACCTGTCACAGCCACACACTAATCCTCCCACAAACTAGCTTTTATCTGAGCAGAGCTATAAACTCTGTGAATATCCAAATCTATCCAGCTTTCCCTAGCAAATTCTTAACCATGGAATCAGCATTGATGTGTAAGGGCAAACCTCTCAGAGGAACTCTAAAACCAGATATCTTAACTATGAAAACATAAAAATAAACTAGGCCTGTGTGCCCATACAGGTTGCTAATACAACCATTAGCAAAGTCAACAGTGCATCGAATTGTGATCAAATCCATCAAGACATTATCCATAAATACAAGAAGTTATCTTTCTCTCTGTTGAAAAATACCAACCATGTACAGCTTGATGGTAGAACACCTTAGATACTGGAGGCCCTGTGTTTAATCAGAAGAACTACCATATAAAAACAAGAATGAGCCAGGTTTGGTGGCTCACATCTTTAATCCCAGTACTCGGGGAGGCTTGGGCAGGAAAGAATCTCTGTAAATTCAAGGCCAGCCTGATCTACAGAGTGAGTTTCAGGACAGCCAGGACTGCTACACAGAGAAACCCTGTCTCAAAAAACTAAAATGAAACCAAAACAAAAATAAAACCCCACCATAGCAAGAACAGCTTCATGTTTATAAAATTATCCAGTACTTTCTTCTTTCTGGATCATTTTTCTGAGCCATTCTCCACCCTGAAATTACAGCAGCTGGCTCCACATAGCAAGGCCATTAGTGCTTTATCTGACAGTGGACAAGAGATCAATCCAGAGGCAACCTTGGTTGAGAATTCATGTGCAAGGGCCCCGTCCCTGAGGTGGAATGCCCTGGCTGTCCAGACTTTCACTTGGACAATACATAGGGAAGACCCCACAAATAGTTTAGAAGTTTTGCTGTCACACCAAGGACTGATTCTTCAGGTTGCCATTAATGTTTCATGAACCCTGATAACACTAATTTGTGTCACTTTCTCTGTAAAAGTGTCATTTAGTCAAGGCTCTCCTCCTCAGATAAGTTGACCAAATAACGGAACCAAAACTCATAGTTAAGGTATCCACCTGCCAAGCCATGAAGATGGCTCAGCAGATAAAGGTGCTTGCCACCTAAGTTCAATCCCCAGGACCTGCATGGTAGAAAGAAAGAACCGACTCCAGCAAGATGTCTTCTGACCTCTACACATGTGCAATGGCACATATGCTCAATTGCTCTCTCCGGCACACAGACACGTACACACTCTCTCTCTCTCAGACACACACACACCCTCTCTCTTTAAAAATGGCTAATTTTGCTGCATGAATTTTTTATCTGCAAATTCTTTATAATAATAAAGTTTTAGTTATTGAGAGAGAGAGAGAAGCAGGGAATCTCTGTGAGTTTGAGTCTAGTCTATACAGTGAATTCCAGGCCAGACAGGGCTACACAGTAAGACTCTGTCTCAAAAGAGAGAGGTTTATTTTATTTTTAATTATGCACATATATATGTGCATGCAGGTGCCCCGATAGGCCAAAAGAGGATATCGGTCCCCTTGAGCTGGAGTTATAGGCAGTTATGAGTCGACCATCATGGGTCTGGACTCAAACTCGGGTCCTCTGCAAGAGCAACAAGCTCTCTGGTCTTTCTTTTTCTTTTTGCTTTTGTTTAAGGACTTGCTGCCAGCACAAGAAACACCAAGAGATAAGAACAACCCAGCTTGGGGCTGGAAAGATGGTTCAGTGGTTAAGAGCACTGGCTGCCCTTCCAGAGGACCCGAGTTCAATTCCCAGCAACCACGTGGCAGCTCACAACTATCTGTAGCTCCAGTTCCAAGGTATCCAACATCCTTACACAGATATGCTTGCAGACAAAACACCATTACACGTGAAAAAAAAATATAGATGGGCGGTGGTGGAGGTGCACACCTTTAATCCTAGCACTCAAGAGGCAGAGGTTAAGTTTGAGGCCAGCCTGATCTACAGAGTGAGTCCCAGGACAGTCAGGGCAACAGAGAAACCCTGTCTCAAAACAAAACAAAATAAAAACCAAACAATAAAAAAGAAAGAAAAGGAAATACTAAACAAACAACTCGGCTGAAGAATTCAGACTTCAACAGACACAGTCCACCTCCTACATCTTATACCTTCAAGGATGAAGATACTAAAGCTTAAAGTTTCCTCTGAAACATTTCTCTCCAATACTTTTCCCAAGAAAAGACAACAAACTGAAAGACCTAAGCAGCTGGTAACAAGACACACTAAACATCTAAAAGAAACCAAATTCTGAGGTGCAATTTCAACTAGCTCCACAATTTTTTTGACCCAATCTTTGTAAATTCAGATTACCAAACTGTGTAACAGGAGATAATTTTAAAGGAGTGTGAGGTGGTATAAAGTTGGGGATGCAGCCCAGTGAAAAAGAGATACCTAGCCTGAGAAAAGGGCCTGGGATCAACATCACAGATGCAAGCAAACAAACCTATCAAAGCAGGAGCACTAGCTCTGATTAAAGCGTTTGCTGCCTTGATGCACAATCACGAGGCCCTGAGTTCAGATCCCAGCATTCAGGTAATACACAGGGTGTGTGTGTGTGTGTGTGTGTGTGTGTGTGTGTGTGTGTGTGTGTGTATGTGTGTAAACGCAAAATGCCTGATCTAACGCCCCACAGTGTGCACAAAGCTACACACACATGCTCATACACTCACAGAGAAATGGTCCCACAAATAAATAAGTCTTTAAGGGGGGCAGAGGTATCTGGAGAGATGGCTCAGTATGTAGGGGTACTTGTCACCAAGCTTGACAACCTGAAACCCACAAGGTGGAAAGAGAGAAACAATTCCTGAAAGCCATCTTCTAACACACACACACACACAATCTACATTGGAACTGACCCCAGTAAAATGACTTTACAACTCTCTAAATGGTTCATGAATTAATAAAAGCAGCTATGGGAACATTATTCATTAACCTTAAAGGCTAAAAGATATCAACTTTTTCATTGTAATCAGTTAAAAAAAAACTTTAATTAAAAAATTTTTAACGTTCTAGGTTCACAGTAAAACTGAGTAGACAGAGACTCATACACACTCCCCAGCAACATGAGCAAAAGTCTCCCTGAGGTGAGAAAAAGCAAACCAACACATCCCCTCTGGAAACAAACCAAGACAGTATCTTAGGAAGAGTAGTTTCAAAATACCAACTCTGACTGTAAAGCAGCACAGTGTGCACACTGACCAATCTTCAGACCCAGCGACACTTACCATGTAACACCCAACAAGGAAGGCGGCATTTGCTTGTTTTCTCTGATCAGTGCCGGTAAAATGTATAATTTTCTTCCTCAGCATTGTAATGGACTACAGCAAAACAAACTGTTGTTAGTTTTCTTGACCACTTCAAGTTTCCTAAAATTCTATTTTGTTACAAATTCTACATCTCACATGCATAAGCGTCTAGATATCAAAACTTCTCAGAATAACCCTGATGCCCTGAAACATCAGGTGCCTTCCCATGAGACATATTGTGACATTAGAATGACTTAAAATTAAAGGGAAAAGGGGAAATGTGAATAGCTATATTCGTAAAGATGGGCCAACCTCCTGGTCATTTCAGAAAGCTATGGACAGAGCCAAGAACTCTCAACACTAAGAACAGAAACTGATGTATCTGGAGTCTATGGGGACTAAAGTTCTCCCTGAAGGCCACTGTCACTCAACAGTGCATGTTTGTCTGAGACATAAGATTATGGCATTATCCACAACTAGTGACATGGGTAGGAAATGTCCCAATGTGAAAAATTATCAACAAAGCAAGGCTTCCTATAACAGGAGATATAAGAAGCTGGAAAGGTTGGCTGAAGAATCCCTCCTGTTTGCTTGAGACAGTCTCACTATTAGCCCTGGCTGGCCTGAGCTCATTATGTAGATCAGGTTGGCCTTGTAGACCCACTTGCCTCCTAATTGCTAGGATTAAAGGCATTAATCAACAAGCCTGATCTATTTGCTTTCTAAAAAATCTCCAATCCTGGACTGGAGAGATGGTTCGGTGATTAGAGCACTTGCTGCTTTTGAAGAAGGCCTGGATTTGATTCCCAGCACCCACATGGTAGTTCATATCTGTCTGTAACTCCAGTTCCAGGGGATCCAATACTCCTCTGATATCCAAGGGTGCTGTGGGATGTTCTGTATGGCAAATGTGTTGTTGATTGGTCAATGAATAAATCACTGATTGGTCAGTGGCCAGGCAGGAAGTGTAGGCGGGACAAGGAGGAGAATAAAGCTGGGAAGTGGAAGGCTGAGTGAGAGAGACACTGCCAGCCGCCACAATGAGAAACAGCATGTAAAGATGCCGGTAAGCCACGAGCCATGTGGCAAGGTATAGATTTATAGAAATGGATTAATTTAAGCTGTAAGAACAGTTAGCAAGAAGCCTGCCACGGCCATACAGTTTGAAACCAATATAAGTCTCTGTGTTTACTTGGTCGGGTCTGAGAGGCTGTGGGACTGGCAGGTGAGAGAGATTTGTCCTGACTGTGGGCCAGGCAGGAAAACTCTAGCTACAAATGGCACCCAACGTGTTGGCAAGAGTTTCCACCTAAAAACTGAGAAAAAGGATTCTAAAACGGAGCTAAAAACAGTTCCTAATTGTCTCTCTCAAATGAGCGGCAGCTGCCGGTTTGAGCTACTGGCGGGTTCCTAGCGTGTGCGCTCGACCTGCCACCATATGGCGGGAATGAGGCCTCTGCAAATGGCACATTAAGTTGTGTGGTGGATTTAGCCTTTGCTAGTACAAAACAAAACAAAACAAAAAAAAAAAAAAGAGGTTTCTGGGCTACACGCTGCTTTGATAGAAGCATAGACCCACTATTTCTGAGCGTTGATGGCTCCCAGAGCTGGCGGAAAATGTATCACCGCCATGTTGGGAAGCTGAAGTGGGCGGAGCCAGCAGCGCCAGCGCCATTTCAGGCTTAGAAGGCTGCAGTTTAAAGCAATAGGCTCAAGCTAATATAAAAAAATAAGCCACGTAAAGATGGCTACCGCACAGAGAATCTGGATTATGTTCTCTTTGATATTCGTAACTAAAGAGAAACATTTGATTACAAAAGCTGTTGAGTTATGCCAAAATGTATATTTTAAAGGTACCTTAACTTTAAAATTTGGATATAAGGATATGTTGCTTTGGAAAGGAGACTCTGCTTTTGTTCCCACAGAAAGCCAGAGGCTATGGATTTGTTCCAGATTAAGATACATCAGGTTTGACCAGCCAAGACCACATAAAAGGTCTCCGATGACACCATGGCCCAGATGATCCAACATCCAGAATGGTTTCAAGGCAACTGGCTCAGACGATACAGCCTCACGGACTACTCCATGATCCTAAAATTTTCTTTGTTTCCCCATAAGATACAGCGCCCCCCTCCAGCAGGAAGTAGTAAGAGAAGCTACGCCCAAATTCCCAAATTATATGTAATTTTACTTTGTTAAGGTTAAAACCTTCCTTTTAAAAAAAAAATGGGGGAAGTGCTGTGGGATGTTCTGTATGGCAAATGTGTTGCTGATTGGTCAATGAATAAATCACTGATTGGTCAGTGGCCAGGCAGGAAGTGTAGGCGGGACAAGGAGGAGAATAAAGCTGGGAAGTGGAAGGCTGAGTCAGAGAGACACTGCCAGCCGCCACGATGAGAAACAGCATGTAAAGATGCCGGTAAACCACGAGCCATGTGGCAAGGTATAGATTTATAGAAATGGATTAATTTAAGCTATAAGAACAGTTAGCAAGAAGCCTGCCACGGCCATACAGTTTGAAACCAATATAAGTCTCTGTGTTTACTTGGTCGGGTCTGAGAGGCTGTGGGACTGGCAGGTGAGAGAGATTTGTCCTGACTGTGGGCCAGGCAGGAAAACTCTAGCTACACAAGGGCACTGTACACACATGCATGAAAAATACTCATACACATTAAAAAAAAAGAGCCAGTAAGTTAAAAGGATATACAGAACAAAGACAATCCATGAGCCAGCAGCTGAATGGCCTCTTCTCAATTATGAAAATTAAGTGTACAGTGGGGAATCTGTGTATGTTTCTCTGTGTATGTTTCTCTACGTATGTTATACTTCAACAGGAAGTTAAAAAGAAGCCATCATCACCCAGCACTTCCCCAGTGGCACTTCACTAATGTGAAACGCATCAAGGCTGGAACAGAGTATGTTCAGCTCAATTTGAAAGCACTGCATGTCCCAGTGTCTCTACCATCAATGTGTACTACTTTTCCTTTAGTGATTCACATGGACTGAGAGACCTAAATCAATGAAAAATAGAAACAAAAACTAACCATCCATCGGCAGTGCAGGCACCCTCTTCACCCAAGGCACTCTGAATCTCACTAGCTATACGGGAAGTAAGGTTTCAGAGAGGCTGGTGTTCAACTTGTCAGTGCTTCTAGCAGGTCATTAGAAAGGAATGCACTCATTTCTGGTGACACAAAGAATAAAAGTCTCTAACAGGCTAGGCATGAAGGTGCATGCACAGGTGCACACACACATAGACTTACTCTTTCAAAACTAAGGCAAAGAAACAATAGTTAAGAGGAGAGGGAATTATATTTAGTCTCTTGGCCCCGTGGGAACAAAAGACAGCCACTGACAAGTGGAAAGGGGAGAGGGACCCAAAGATAGAGGCCACAGATGTTGACTCTGCTATTTAAGAGGGCCTGGGAAGAAGTCTGCTCTCATGTCTAAGTGAATATAGTTGACGCTCTGGAGGGGAAAATAACTCCCTTACTCATAAACTTGTAATGATGTTAAGCAAAAATAAATGCTATTTGTTTTGCATAGTTCTCTGGTAAGTAACCCATCAATAAGTTTTTGTTTGTCTTTAATTCCTGCTAACAAAATCAGTATTTTCTACTTGATAGTTTATGATGACTAGTTACTTTTTTAAAACTTGAGACATGGTCTCACTATGTAGTCCTTGCTGGCCTGAAACTCACTATGTAGATCAGACTGGTCACAAACTGGCAGAGATCTACCTGCCTCTGCCTCCCAAGTGCTGAGATCAAAGGCATATACCATCACGCCCAGCTAGTTACTCCTTAAGTGTCTGATCAGTAATTCACAGTATCTAAATAAAGAAATGGGATTTGTGTTCACACTGTGTGCTCTCAGTGAGGCAGCCTCAAGGACACGCCAATGACCCTTGGCTCTCTCATTCCCCAGTCAGATGTATAAAGGGTCCAAGCTGAAGAGCAATTCATGCAACACTATGTGAGTTTCCAGCTTAGAGAACAAAGTAGAGTCTGCTTTCCATTCATCAGTGCTCCTCTTTAAAAGGGAGGCAGGGCCGGGTGGTGGTGGCACATGCCTTTAATCCCAGCACTTGGGAGGCAGAGGCAGGTGGATCTCTGTGAGTTCGAGGCCAGCCTAGTCTACAGAGTGAGTTCCAGGAAAGGAGCAAAGCTACACAAAGAAACCTGTCTTGAAAAACCAAAAATAAATAAATAAATAAATAAATAAAATAAAAAATAAAAGGGAGGTAGGAAGAATGATGGCCAAAGCCTGGCTTCAGTTTCCATTAGGTCAGATAAGAAGGGACCTAGTTAACTAACTGCCTTTCACTCTGAGTATCTTCAATCCAAACCAGAATCAAATAACCCAAATATATTCCACTAAAACTAGAATAGAAAATGAGTTATGTGTGTTGGCATATCATATCCATGAGGGGATGCAGACACTTGGAGGCCAGTATGGGTTACACATAAGTGTGTCTCAAAGCCCAGAAAAACCTCTAGGGATAAAATGTATGCAGTATAAGTTTAGAAAAAAATTATTATTTTTTTTAATATACAAGTGTTTTTTCCTGCTTATGTTATGTATGTGTACTATGTGTTTGCCTGGTGCACATAGACCAGAAGAGGGTGTCATATCCTCTAGAACACCTGTGACAGTTATGAGTCACCATGTGGGTCTCTGAAAGAGCATCCAGTGCTCTTGACTGCTAAGCCATTTCTCCAGACTCAGAAAAATAAAAATAAAATATATATTTTAAATACTGCTACAATGAGAAACAAGATCCTGCCCTGTTTTTGAGACAAACTTTCACAATGCAGGTCAGGCTATACAGTCTTGTACAGTCATGTACAGCAATGAATTCACAACAATCCTCCAAGCGCTGAGAACACAGGTGCAGTCCACCACACCATTAAAACTTTTGGTATGTTTTGAAGACACACTTCAGTAGGAAACTAGTTTCTTGGTAAGCCTTTTCTGTTTTTAAAGATAAGACCTTTCTGTCTAGCACAGGCTTGCCCTGAACTTGGGATCCCCCACCTGAATGCACTAGCATCAGCAGGCCTGGTCTGAAACTGTTTTGTTTTGTAAGAGGAAGCATTCTTTCAAATTCTGAATTTTTTAAATACTTTTTAAAAGGAGGTAGGTCTCCATTGCTTTACTCTAAAATGTTGCTGAGTGATCACTTCACTCAAACCTTGAGTGAAAAGATTAACCTTGAGAGGACCCCTAAGAGGGACAAGCATGGATCACCTTAGAAGGTTGAGAACATGAGGGAACAGAATAGTTGAGTTGGGGGAAGGACAGAGAGGGAGAGCAATGAGAGAGATATCCTGATAGAGGGAGCCATTATGGGTTTAGGGAGAAACCTGGTACTAGGGAAATTCTAGAAATCCACAAGGACAACCCCAGCTAAGACTCCTAGCAATAGTGGAGAGGGTGCCTGAACTGGTCTTTTCCTGTAATCGGATGGGTGACTACCCTAATTGTCATAGAACCTTCATCTAGTAACTGATGGAAGCAAATACAGAGATCCACAGCTAAGCACTGAGCTGAGCTCCTAGAGTCCAGTCGAAGAGAAGAAGGAGGGATTATATGAGCAGGGCGGGGGTCAAGATCATGATAGAGAAATCCATAGACAGATGATCTAAGAGAGTGGGAGCTCAGGGACTCTGGGCTGACATCTGGGGAGCATGGGACCGAACTAGGCCCTCTGATAAGTCTTATGGCTTGGTCTGTTTGTGGGGCCCCTGGCAGTTGGACTAGGATTTATCCCTGGTGCATGAACTGGCCTTTTGAGCCCATTCCCTATGGTGGTTGTTCAGCCTTGATGCAGGCGGGGAGGGGCTTGGTCCTGCCTCAACTTGATATACTAGGCTTTGTTGACTTCCCAAGAGAGGCCGTATCCTCTCTGATGAGTGGATGGTGGGTGGGGTGGAGAAGAGGTAGGGGGAGCAGGAGGAGGGGAGGGAGAGGGAACCGTGGTTGGTATGTAAAATGAAAAAAAAAAAAAGATTTACCTTGAGCTTCTTATTTATCTTGCAACAATATCTGTAAACCATTGCCAGATTGAGTGGTCCAAAATCGGCATAGAAGCTTTTAAAAAAAATGAATAGAAACAAGTATGAATTAGCTGTTCTGAATGTAAATGCTCCTAAAATGGCAAGCGAGCATCCACCAACCCAAATTAACACAGGCCATACAATTCTAAGGTCCTGTCCTACTAATACTAACAGGAATATTCTTGTAATCAACACCCATTTAAATACGCAACAAGTGGGACAGAGTTGTACCTCATTGGTGGAGAGAGCTCAGCTAGCATGCACCAGACAGACCTTGCTGCCCTCCCCTAACACACAGCACACACACCCCAGAGGTGTAGACTAACTCTAACCTCAATTAAGAAATTGTTTTTGCATATATTGTCCACTAGCAAAACCAGTATCTTACATGTTTTTATTTTCACACAGCTCTGCAGTACAAACTATTACAATATCAAATCTCAGTGTTTAAACGGAGGTTCTCTGTATCCTCAAAGATCTATTTTATTACCAAGAATCTGAAACAGTACCCAGCTGTAAGTGACCAGATATATGATTTTCCAAGGCTATGTCACCTGTACTCATACCAAGAGATTCTTCAGAAGACAGTTTAAAAGTCTCAGTCAATACTTACTTCTCATACTCAAGTTCATTATCTATGCTGAAATAATGTTCGTTTGACGCACTCTTTGGTCTGCTGTAGAGAATGGCAAAACAAAGGCGATCTGAAATGGAAAAATTGCAATGTTCCTTCCTTCAAGCTATTAAAAAAATGTGTCCCAAGTCAAGACCCAATGCTTTCCTGATGAATTCAAATATGGAAGGGTTTTTTGTTTTTTATCGATTTTGTGTGTCCATGCCCCCACCCCATGTTTCAGGTGGGAAAGATAACAATGTATAAATTTTTAATTGATTTTGTGTCCATGTGCACCCCCTCCTCCTTCAGACTGGAAAGGTGACAATGTATAATTTCAAAACGGCCTCTTTTGGTGAATAACAATAAATAAGCAAAAGTTTTAAAGAAGAAATCGCCTTAATTTGTAAGCTTCTACAGTGGTAGGTGATATTTCATGCAGTGATACTGTTTTGACTTCTGAAGCAACTAAGAAATCGCAGGGAACACACAGCATGCATTAGATGACTAGCCTGCAGCTATGCATCAAGTTTATGAGGACACCCTGAAAAGACATGCAGCAGGAAACAATCTTTTTAAGTAAAAACAAAGAATGCTTTCAATATTGCTGATTACAGCTACAGAACACAAGAAGGTGTGTTTACACAATTCTTTTCACAGATGTGTATTTTTTTAAATTTGTGATCACGGCTTTGAGTTTCTCACAGATTACTGTTAAAACCAAAGCAATGGGAGGCCCAACTGGGATGGAATCTGTTGCATGAATGCAGTCAGGGTGCTGTGGAGTTTAGCAAGAAGGGCAGTAAGATTCAAAGGCGCTACTCTTACTCCCCAACCCCAGAAAAGGGCAATATCTAATAGTAATTAGATACCTGCCCTCAAAACGTGGCAAAAATCAAGGACAGCCTTTGAAATTATATATATTTTCAGACCAACTTGTTAGGGCTAAGAGACAAACAAGCTGGTACATCCTTTTCCCAAATGGTAATTTAAACTTTTCTATCTGTGCCTCCACTCTCACAATCGCTGCACATATGTCCTAGTAAAGGCAACTACGAACTTCTAGCAGCCACATTCAAATGGGTGACAGGGCTAGTCCTTTCCAACCACAAATGACCTTTGATCCGTGATGCTCAGTGCCTGGGCATTTCACTAGCTTCCAAGCGTGGGTGGAGAGGGTGTAGGGCACAGAGGACATAAGCACACTAAGATGTCGGTTCGCCCCAAAGTCACTAGCCCCAGAGGGGAGGTCAGTTGGGATCCTTGGGCAGCAAATCGCTACTCCAGCCAGCCCGAGTCCTACCCTGCCCTGAGCACTCACCTCGGATCACCTCGGCCACCCGAGGGGTCCCCGCGCCCTCCCGGCTCATGACTCCAAAGCATCTGGAAGGCAGGGCAAGAGAAGGGCCCAGCGGGTCCGGGGATGGCCGGCCACGGGAAGAAGAATGCAAGGGCGGCCACACCCCCGAAGTTTAAAAAACAGTGAAGTTTAAAGAGCCTCGCCCATGCATGGGCACGGCGACGCCCTGGCGGGTGACAAGCAGCAGACTGAGAGCCAGCCCCGGAAGTTCAAACTCTGGGCCGTCCCCGGGGTGGCCAGGGGCCAGTGTCCTGCAAAAGAGGCCAGACCCACAGGCATGCGCGACCAGGGGTCAGATGCCCTGCAAAAAGAGAGACCTGGCCCACGAGCACGCGCAACTAGGGCCAGCTGTCCGGCAAAGGAAGCAACCAGACATACAGGCACGCGTGGCCAGTGGCCAGCTGTCTTGCAAATGGGGCGATTCAACTAGCTCGGAGTACACAGGGCCAGCTCAAAACCCGCCAGCCCGCACGACCCAGGCACGCATGATGAAGGATTTGGGGACAGGCCGGCGCCAGCCTCCACCACAGGCTCGGGACTCCTGCCTCCCCCGCCGCCGCCCACCACCAGGGGGCGCTGCGCGGCCCACACCGCTGAGCGTCACAGCTTGGACCAGACAGGTCGCGCTGGGCTTTGCAAGAAACTGTTTAGAACTAACTGCAAGGTGAGTTTAGCCTGCTAGAGTTGGGCATGAGCAGACTCCCAGCACTTGGGAGGCAGAGGTGGAAGGAAAATCAAGTGTTCAAGGTCAGTCTCACCTAAAGAAAATTCAAGGCCAACCTAAGCGGAGAGTCTCTCTCAATAAATAGGGGTTAAGATGGTTTAGCAGGTAAAGACGTTTACCCCTCGAAGATGCAGCCTGATTACCAGAGTTTAATGCCCAGAACACACATAATGGTGGAAAGGTAAGAACCAACTGTACCTCTGACCTCCCCACACATCATATGCACGCATGTCTGTGCACAAACACTATATTTTTCAAATTAAAAATAAACCTAACACTCAGGTCACTTGCTATTTTAAAGGTATGGGAATAGTCTAAAAGCAAAATGTTTAATATGCTTCTTCGCAACCACTCAACAGTTTCAGTCTATGTCCTTAATCTCAAGAGAACAAGTTAATGTACAGGAGTGTGATCGCACTTTTGTTGTATGTCATATGATGCTAGGTCTGTGGATCTTTTTTATTTCTTCCCAAGTTTTTCCAAGTTTTCTACAGAAAAGCACCAAGGAGTGAAAAATTGTCAATGCCCTTCCCTTGAAAAAAAAGAAAAACAGCAAGTCTAGAAAATAATTTTTTACGAAAAAAAATGACACATTATTTATAATTCCTAAGGACCTGCATAGTCCTTAACCTTATTGTAGAATTTCAGATGGATCAGATTGAGACAGACAGACACACACACACACACACACACACACACACACACACACACACACACACACACACACACACAGCAGTGGGGTGGATTCCTTTCATACTTGCACCTGGGGAAGACTTTTCTCAGTTCAAAGCACCACCAGAAAAATCAACCCATAAACTGATATACTTTAAAACAGTTTTCACAGCAATAAACACAAACAAGTCAAGGGAATAAGCTGTTAAGAATACTCTATTGGTTGGAGAGATGGTTCAGCGGTTAAGAGCACTGATTGCTCTTCTAGAGGTCCTGAGTTCAATTCCCTACAACCACATGGTGGCTCACAACCACCTGTAATGAGATCTGGCGCCCTCTTCTGGCCTGCAGGGACTCATGCAGGCAGAACACTGTGTCCATAATAAATAAAAAAATCTTTAAAAAAAAAAGAATACTCTAAATTCACCAAGCATACCCAATTTCAATTATGTCATTGTAAAAATTACAGAAATGCCATTTTAAAGTTTGAGATATTTTTTATTCATTTCTTTGTTTTGTATGGGTGTCATTCAGAGCACTTCTCTCTGGAGTCCATTCTCCCCTGCCACCTTGTGGGTTCCAGGGATCAAAGTACAGTCTTCAGGCCTTCTATGGAGCTATCTCACTAGCTCTGCCTGCATGTTTAACACATGGCTTTAACATGTGCCTTAAAATGTGTGTACATGCAACTACTGATATCTTTAAAGTAAAAAATCTAGTCAGCAGTGGACACCTTTAGAGCAGGCAGTGGACATGAAACAAAGATGAGTAAGAGAGATTTATGCCTTTTTATAGCTTTTGAACTTGGGGTTACAGATTATATATTTAAAAGAGCAACATTTTGAAAAACAAGCTTGCAGGCTAACAATGTTTATTCAAAGCTAAATTCCTACTAAGATGTGAAGCACTTTATGAGGATGCCTGAAGGGGGCCCTTTCCACACACTGAAACCTGTGTGTGCTTTCTAATCTTTGGAAATTGCAAGATTTTTTTTTTTTTTTTTTGTGTAGCTGGAAGTTTTTCTCTGGTCTGCCAGGCCCCTTGCAGGAGCTTATATTAATTATAACTGCTTTGCCATTAGCTCAGGTTTGTTACTGACTAGCTCTTACACTTAAATTAACCCATAATTCTTATTTATGTTTAGCTGCTGTGGATGATTGATTGATAAATAAAACTCTGATTGGCCAGTAGCCAGGCAGGAAGGATAGAGTAGGCAGGACAAGGAGGAGAAGAATTCTGGGAGGTGGAAGGCTGAGGCAGAGAGATGCTGCCAGCCACCGCCATGACTAGCAAGATGTAAGGTACAGGTAAGCCACGAGCCACATGGCAACTTATAGACTAATAGACATGGGTTAATTTAAAATAAAAGAACAACTAGCAAGAAGCCTGCCACGGCCATACAGTTTATAAGTAATAAAAGTCTCTGTGTGTTTACTTGGTTGGGTCTGAGCGGCTGTGGGACTGGCGGATGAGAGAGATTTGTCCTGACCGTGGGCCAGGCAGGACCAGGAAAACAATAGCTACATTTAGCCACATGGCTTGGTACCTTTTCTCAGTTCTGCCTTGTCATCTTGCTTCCTCTGTGTCTGGCTGAAGACTCTTGACTCTGCTTTTCCTCTTCCCAGAATTCTCCTTGTCTGTTTATTCCGCCTATACTTTCTGCCTGGCTACTGGCCAATCAGCATTTTATTTATCAACCAATCAGAGCAACACGCATTCATAGCATACAGAACATTCCACAGCACTTCCCCTTTTCTGTCTAATCAAAAAGGAAGGTTTTAACTTTAACACAGTAAAATGACATATACTAGAACAATTATCAAGCACGGATTACAGTTACAATATCTAGTCTATTTGTATTTGGCAAAATTAAAGAAAATATTCTATCTATCCTGTATTTGTGAATCTAAAATTTCATATCTAATTTATCTTTTATCATAACCAAGGAAAATTGTAGACATAGAAAAATCAAATCAAACTCTAAAGGATATGCTAAATAAATAGAAAGGGGCAACAAAACCCCCCAGAAATAGATTGCATAATGCTCTATTAACTTTGAATTTTTTCAATCCTAACGAGGAACAACAGCTGCAGAGACATTGGGTAATAGAAAAAAACTACAGAATTAAATCAGCTTATATACTTTAAAGATGTGCTGACCTCAGAATGGAAACCAGGATATGTGTTACACTGGGGATGAGGTTTTGCTTTTGTTTCTGCAGGAGAAGTAAAGCTATGGATATGATCAAAATTGATAAAGGTTCGATTTAAACAAGAGAAGACCTCTTAATTAGAAGAGGTGATAGTTCATCAACCAGCATGACCATCCAATTTAAATTAACTTATACAACTAACAAATGCTTTTCATTTAATCAGATATAACTTGCCAAAAGGGAACCTCCCCAAAGTTAGTCTTGGGGAAAGGTTTTTGCTTTTGTCTTTCAGGAGACTGAAGGCTAAGGAATCTGAAGAACACTGGAGAAATGAGACATCTGAAGAAAGGGGAAAAATCATCCAGAAAGAAATGTTACAAGAAAATGAGTAAATTGGCCTATTGGTGTATCACATATAAAATTTCATAAGTCTTCCTAAATGTTTGTTTCTGCTCCTTTATACAAACACTTAACACAAATGGTCTTTATGTAGTCCCAGTTCAATTAAAAATTAAAGCTGGCTTTAGAGTTTGAGTATGCCTCTCTCCTTCTCTAAATCCAAGCATGTTTCTTAAAAGGAAAATGCAAAATCTCTGTGTCATGTCAGATTGCCACTAATCTCAATTCTTTGGTTCTATTTTGATTCTTTAAGCTTTAAGGTATGAATTTATATCAAAATTTATAAGATATATATGATATATATATTTTTAAACTTTTGTCTTGAAATTAATGGTCATATAGAGTACTAACTAATTCTTTTAAAAAAAGGTTTCATTTAGCTTCCTATACATGTTTTTGTGCTGGAGTCTCTATCAGTTTTCTGCAGGGAATCATGACCATGCCTAACAGCAAATTTGAAGTCTCCAGAAAGATGATGGGGCCCCACAACGATGATTTCACATGGACAATAATAATACCACTAAGCTGACAAATATCACCCAAAGATCAGCTTTGGACTACAAACTGCTCGGGACAATTTCGAGATGGCTAGCTGAAATGATCCAGCCTCACAGACTATTTGAGCGAGGACTTGAGATAAGTCCTGCACTTTTGCATTATGCAGAGACTGGACAACAAATGATACAGCTACCTCTCCCAGGACTTGACAATTAATCCAAAATTTTTCTTTTCAGGATCCCCTAAAGATGCGTTCACCCACAAACAGCAGGAAGCATTTTAAAGAACACAATGCCCATATTCCCAAGAGGTGGGGCAGGTGGTTTTTGGTCCTTCAATAGGTTTTAGGTTTGGGATAATTGTCATTGTTTAGGATGGTTGGTTACAGCCTGGGCACAGAGTGAGATCCAGGACAGGCACCAAAACTACACAGAGAAACCCTGTCTCGAAAAACCAAAAAGGTTGGTTACAAATTGTTATTGTTAATGGTCAGGAAAGAGGCTAAACAAAGGAAAGGTTCTTATTTGAAAAAAAGAAACAAGAAAAGAAAAAAAGGATATGGATAAGAGGTAGGTTGTTGAATCTACTCTGAAAAAAAATAGAAATGATAAAGGGTAGATTATTGAAACTACTCTGAAAAGAGAAAAAAGAGGATATAGATTTGATATAGATAAAAAATAGATAATTGAATCTACTTTTAAAAAGCAACTAGTTTTAAATATTTTACATTGGATTGTATTTTTGTATATTGTATATAAATTATGTATATTGATACAAATTTGAGATTGATTTTGTTAGAAAATACTGTACATATATTCTAATCTTGTTCAGGATATTGTACCTATACAGTTCATTTAACAATGTAATGCAATTTGCTAATCCTTGAATGCTATTATTACCAGCTATTAATGTATAAAAAAATGAAAGTTAGTAGTTAGACATTAATATGACTACAAGTTAGATAGTAGTTATTTTTTCAAGGTCAAGCAGAGATATATTTTAGATAGACAGGTCATTTTCAAACCCTTCAGAGATCTACAGAATATGGCACTTAAGGTATTTTAATAACAGATTTTTTCTTTTTCTTATGACTATGAGACATGTCTGCTCCAGGAAGAAACAATTTACTTCAGAGAAGATATGGGCATTGAAAAAACTGCATATAGAGTTAACTTTTACTGTGGCAAAAGTTAGCCGCTGGGCAAGAAAGTGCCCTTGCATTGACTGCTGACAGTATGCTGTCCAAAATGGACAAGCAGGACACAAAACAAAGGACTGCCGATCCTTGCCAAGACAAGTGTGATTTCAGCTTTGGTAACAGGCATCCTCTGGAGGCCAGGACAATACGACACCATTGCTGAAGTGGCTTTGCAATCCAGAAAAAGTACAGTGCCCTTTCCTTCGAAAGCAGCTGAACAGGCTGGTGTGCAGCGGAACAGTGGCTGGAACAGTTATTCTTGGAGGAATAACTAGGCTGACAGAGTCTGGCCTCTCAATGGTAGACTGGCATTTAATAAAAGAGATGGAGCCACCCACAAGCCAAGAAGAATGGGGAGCTGAACTCCAAAAACAACAGAAATTTCCAGAATTTAAATCCTGAATCATGACAGGACACTGGTGGAATTCAGGTTTATCTGGTACATGGAACACTTGCACTGAATGTGAGGTCGAGCTGTGGGCCTTGCGTACATCCTACTTCACAAGTGAGTCTGTCAGATATGCTAAGCCTGTAGGCTGAAGATGATGCCCCAAAGTGCAGAGGAACCTCAGGTGACTGTCCAGGCAGCTGGCTGTTTCTGTCATAACTCACATTTTTTGGAAGTCGCTAGTTTGCTCTTCCTGTTTTACTAAGTAATATTATTTCCTTCTCGGGTCTCTGAGTGAGTTGAAGATTAGACAGCTGTAGTTATAGTTTTCCTTGTTAAAGTCAGAAAAGAAACTCACTAAGAGGTGTTAAGTATAGAAGTCTGAAAGACATTTAAGATAGTTTTCTGTTGGTAATATAAGTTAGGATAGAAAGTGAATTAGGTACATTTTGGACTTACCAAGATAAGATAGATAATGGAATATTTTCTCTGAATTTGTCAAATGCAAATGGACTAGACATTGTTGATGTATTTATTGCTTGTATATATTCTATATAGTTATTGTACTTATTGTATATAGTTTTTCTTATATTAGTTATAACATTTTTTATTAGACAAAAAAGGGGAAATGCAATATTTTATTTGTGCTTTAATAAATAAAGCTTGCCTGGAAATCAGAGGAAAAAGGCCAGCCATTTTAAGTAAACAAAGAAATCACCAACGGTAGCACACGCCTTTAATCCTATCACTTGGCAGGCAGCATCTCTGTGTGTTCAAGGCCACACTGCAAACAGAGCCAGGTGTGGTGGCACATGCCTTAAATTCCAAAACTAGTTAACCATGGAGGTCTGGAGTTCTGTAGAGACAGACAGGAAGTTACAGAGCTGGGCAGAAAGAGGAAGTGATGTAGCTGGGCAGAGAGAGCAAATCAGATGGCAGAACAGCAAGGCATATAGGGTGTGGGTAAACAGGAAGTCATGGCATCTGGAAGCTGCAAGTTGGTGAGGTAAGGTTGGCTGTGGCTTTCCCTATTTCCCTGATCTCTCTAAGGCTTTCACCCCTATATTTAGCTCTATGTTTTTTATTTAATAAGACCATTTAGAAATTCATCTAAATTTTTGTTTGATTTTTGTTGTTTGTTTTTTGAGACAGGGTGTCTTTGTTTAGCCTTAGCTGTCCTGGAACTAGCTCTAGGCCAGGCTGGCCTCAAGCTCACAGAGATTCGCTGCCTCTGCTTCCCAAGTGCTGGGATTAAAAGCTTGTGACACCACCACCTGTCCATTAAACAATGGATCAGCAGGTAAAGGCACCTGCTACCAAGCCTGACAACCTGAGTTCA